GAAGTTCCAGGAATAAAACTGAAGACAATAAAAAGCCTTCTTTTCTAGGGATCAAAGATACATACCCTAACACTATATGCATAGATATGTATTAGGCAAAAAGGTCTTTATTTCATTTTTAAAGGAGAGAAGGGAGATGCAACAACTGTAAAAAGACATCTGAGAAACCTTCATGTACAGAGTACATCCAAGAGGGAGAAATGGCCTAGTGAGAGATAACAATAAGAAAAGAAATACTTATGTCTTGTTCTATTCCTTAACGTTTGTACTGGATAACAGTAGACAAAACTCAAGTAAATGCAGAACTGTAGAGGATCCCAGAGGTACTCCTGTGTTAGAAATTTGGAATCAAGTACTGAAAATGGCTGCCTATGAACAAAAATGACATTTATAGGAAAATAAATGATGAAAAGAAAGAGCCCAAGGGTGGAGGAAGTAGGTTTTTGAATAACGATGTTACTTTCATGTGATCAGCTAAAATTATAGAATCTCAGATATGAGAGAAACAAGGAAAATAAAATTTTTGGCTGATACAATAACATACTCCAAAAATGATACCTTTTTGCACTCCTAAATTTTGCAGACATTTAAAAATCTAATAAAATTTTGAGTGTTATCATAAAGAATAAATATTCACTTGTATATACTTCCATGAAATTAGTCATCTGAAGCACAACCGAATGCAACATCACCAAAAATTAAAAATCAAAGCTATGATCCCATACAGTCCAATACTGTGGATTGAGAGTTTACAATTCTGAGTCATTCCTACCAATTCTAAAAAGAAATTAAAAAAATGACCCATTGGGAAGTAGAATTAATTCTATTCAACAGAACTTAAAAAATATATATTAAAAGGTTGCATTTTCCAATTACACACTTTTCTTTTTTAAATTTTTACTAAAGCAAAAGCAAGCTACTTTATTTCCTGGGAAAAAATGTTGCACTTACTTGATCATATGTGGCACAGTGACTTTCGAGTTGTCTTCAAACACTATGGTCATTAAACCATTGCACCTAATATTATCAATGCACTGTGAAAATTAAGATTGAAAACCATTAAAATAAAAACACAGCATAAAGGGACTTACTCCCACACTTTTCCACATCACTGTAAGCCTAAAATATAGCTTTCAGAGAGTGTGAACTGATGGATTAAAAAAAATTTATAAAATAAAAACAAATGGTGATACAGGAATATCACCTGGATATTATAGTGGATATGATTCTCTAGTTTTCTACCTTTGATTTTCACATCCAGAAAGTGAATGGATCTTTACCAGCACACTCAGGGTATTCAGCTCAGCATCCTTTTTCAACATGACTGAAGTATTTTGAGTTGGAAATGAAACTTTCTTTGGAGTTTCTTTGAAGCTGAGCAAAATTATATACCTCTAGCACTTCTTGAAAGAGTGCTTGGAAAACAGTTAAGCTTGGAAAACAAATAGGTATACTGCCAGAATTAGAATAATTTACAGAGTGAGAGGCTCTAATATCTTTATACTTTACTTTTTACTTGATACTTTATATCAAGTAAAATGATAAATATTCTCTGAAAATACACTTGTAAAAACAAGGTCAAGTGACGCAATTATTGTGAAATACAGTTATGAAGCTGCTGTCCAAGGAGTCCCTTGCAAACTCTTCTATAAATGTTTCTGGCTAGGTATTGGGAGCTGGAAAGGCACTTCTGGGGTATGGTCACAGCACACATCGCTTTTGCACACCAGCTGTGCTGTGGCCAGTAAAGAATCACAATTTAGGTGGCTTAAGCCGTTCTACAAGCTTTAAAGCAGCTCAGTGTTGGTGGCACACAAGGAAGAAAAGTTTCCTACTACTTTTCCCTGGCAGTCTCACTAACCCTTTCATTCCTTGTATCCTCAGCTAGATGCAGCTAGTGACACTTTTCTCTGCTTCATTAGGCCACTTGCAAGCTTTGCAAACAGGCAGCTCTCAAGTCAAATTCCCTAACACCACAGTAGTGGCTGCTTGGAGTTTGTCTCAGCACAAAAGGTCTGACTTTTGGAACCAGACCCAAACTCTAATCTTTAGTCTACTTAGACAGCAGATGAGTTTCTCATTAAAAATCGTTCTTACTCAAGCCAAGAATTGACTTATTCCTGGGTGTCTCATGTTCCAAGACAGTTCTTAAAGAGTCTTTCTTCCCCAACAAATCATTCCAACACGTTAAGCGTCATTGAAAGAACATAATTTCTGAAATTTCATATAGTTAAAAATGTTCCAATCACATCGGCCTGTAAGATCTGTATCTAGTGAGCTGCAGTGAGATCAAGGCTCTCAAATCATACTATATTTTGAAAATTTTATCTCCCTCTTTTTTCTTTTAAATCTGTTAGCCCAGAAGAAAACAACTCAGAATACCTATTTTTAAGTAATTTCTATTCATTATGATGATAATGCATCTGGAGATGCTGCCAGCAGTGATAGCACAGACAAAAACCCATTAAATACCAGGCTGACGTTTGTCTAATCAATCACTTCTCTTGAAGTTAATAGAGGACAGGACTCAGATTCAAAACTATGACAGATCTATGTCCTCAGCAGTTGTATATATAAACAAAGAAGCAAATCTTTAATCTAAATTCAGATCTGACACTTGAAAGTTCAGATCTTTCACAGCGCATCCAACCTCTTTCCTCAAATAGATTTTGATAAATGTTTGTCTACTAAAGTTTCAGACAAAAACACCTAAGAACATTTTTTTTTACCTCTGCCATTAAATATTTTGAAGTATTTTCACTTTCCTTCATCCACAGTAGAGTTCCCCGCACACTGTAAGTACTATCCTTTCTATATCAAAATATATATCTGGATGAGCTTTTCTTAGACATAAAAATGACTCCTATTAGTATTAATTTTTAGTTAATTATTAGTATTATGTTAGGCAACTGTCTAGTCTGTATTTTATATCCCACTTCTCTCCTGGAAAAACTCATTTCATGGATGACTCAAATTAAAAGGTAAAGCTTTTTGTGGAAATAGGTAATCTTAATGGTTTTTTATATACATGATAGCAAATCAGCCCTCAAAAAATCAATAGCCCTGTCTTGGATTATTTTTCAGAAATGCAGAATAAAATAAGATCTTGTAACAAACAAGATAAAGAACAGAGCAAGCTACCTGGCTTATATCACTTGTCCACGCGGCTTTCTCCTGTCGCGAAGGGGCTAAAAGGACAACAGTAAATGGAGCAGCATCTGTAGGTTCAACTACAAGCTTGAAATCAAGGTGTCCAAAAACCTGCCCAGAACCTTTTGCTTTATAGTCAGAGGCAAAAAAGAAAAAAAGTGAAAATGTGAGATTTCAAACTATGGGTCAGAGAAAATAGTGATTTCATTTACAATGGAAATTACTTTAAATATCTCTCTGACAAAGAACAAATCCAACCAGGGATTCAAAACAGGGGTTCCATCCATCCGTTTTTCACATACACCAAATGTAAAAAAAAGTTACAGAACATACAATAGTGGGAGTCATGAGAAATTACTTTTAAAGATGTCAAATAAGGCTCAAATCCTTCAAAGACTTCCATGTGCACTGTTGATATACTAACAGCATATTAGAAGCATCACTGAACTTAATGGAACTATTTTCACAGTTCCAGTGCAATACATGCCTAAAACTGTGGGATGGAAGCCAAAATGAATAAGCAAAAAATCAGCTTGGGAATGTATTTTGTTATTTCATTTGAAAAAGGTTGCCATCAAGAATTGTAGGGAGTCCAAGAAAAAAAACTTTCCACCAGTTCCGCCAACTCTCTCAACTCCCATGTAGTTAAGAAATCTAATTATCTGTTTCCTTTTTCAAGACATACACATTTTTTTCTTTCTCAGATCCTCAGGGTGAATTTCTATATAAAAGTCAGCAAATAATTTGTTACACTGTTTCAGCCAGGGCACTTGAAAATCCTATGCGCAATGTCCACATCAAGAGCAAACATAACAAAACAAACCTCTATCCAAGCCAGGACACACATTTTTAAAACATCTATACTACTGAATGAGTTTTTAACACTGTATTTCTCTGTTTGCATGAAAGAGTATAAAACTATATAAAGACTATAAAAGAGCAGCAATTTTAAGAAACTACTTAGAACTATAATTACTGCAAATGGCTTAATGTAACTTACAATCATCATCACTTGCATCTGTCTCCTCAATCAGTGTGCACTCTATCAAAGATAGAACACCTCCTGTCTATGAAAATAAAGAACATTTTCCAAAAAATTTAGACTTTTTTTCCATTTCTCACTGCAGTTATTTTTAAATTTTGATATATTTTAGTCTGAGATTTTACATTACTAAGAGCTTTTAGGAAGATATATAAATTTCACAATGCACGTTTTCCCTCAAGAAATTAAAACACAAGCTATATTATATGATATATTGTAGCATTTTTCTTAACAAAACAAATCCATAATATACTTACATGTGCAAAATTTTTTTCATTTTTACCACATTATAATTTATTTCACATATAGAGACCTGTTCACAAGTTTCAAAATGGTAACTAGAATTTTAGTATGTTCTCCTAAATTTAAATCAAATTAATACAAGGTCTTTGTAAAGGTTCAGTTACATTTAATTTACTTTGCAAAATATTTAAGCTATTTAAAAGGTACAAAGTGAGAAAGCATGCAAACTGCACTGAAAGAGACTGTCTAAGCAGTCTTAATCTCCCAGAAGTAATGTCTTTGTCAATTTAAAATTCTGTTCAACACAAACCATTCCGTAAACTAACTATCTCCCTTCGGTCAAGTCAATACAGCAGAAGTGTGATTCCGTCTCACCAAATATAATTAGAATTTTTTTATAAGAACTTTCCGTTTAAGAGAATATGCTGTTCACGAAAATAGAACTGACTTTTAAAATTAGTTTTATTACAGATCTGTAAAATATCCCTCGGTAATTCCATTGAGTTGGACTGCTGATTTATGCATTGAAAGCTCACATACGTTCAGTGCTAGCTCATACAGATAACACATGCTAATGTCCTGTTTCTAACCCCTCAGAATATCAGAATTCTGCAGTTCTAGAAAAAAATTTTAGTTAGTAAGAATTTTGGCTGAATTCTATTTTTTCTACGCACGTAACAATAAGAGGATACAGCAGTCAATTACTGTGCTTCATCTCACTTCTGTTTATAGGAGCACATCAAAATCTCAGGTTAAAAACAAAAAGTAATGCAACACTGAAATTTCACATAAGTTACCAATACATTATTTATTGGGCTGAAATTTTCTATTTTCATTTTGTAAACAGGGTCATAATGTAAAATCTGTACCTTGAGCAGATGCAGTTTTCCTCCCGAACTTCTCGTACAAACTAGAAAGTGTTTTGTAAATAAGAAGCACTGCCTTTCTCCTTCTTTTTTCAAAGATAATGATCCCAGGCGAACTTTACTAAGTTTTCCCCTCTCAACAGAAGGGACTTGAATAAGGGAACCTGATAATAATAAAGGTGAAAAAGCACACTGTAACTATAAAAATATTAAGCAGGCAGTGCTTAAAGTGTTAATGTATTGAATAGCATGGCTTTAACTCCTGCAACTTTCATTCTAGCAAGTATCAATATATGTCAGCATCTCTTTTAAGCACAGGTCCTTTATCTTTCTTGGCACTAGTTTGTTTTTTCTATACGTCAAGTTCAGGACAACAGATTTGTACTTTACATGGAACTAATAGATCTGACTTTACAACAACAGACTTAGGCAAGCACTGTTCAGACAAAGAGTTGTGGACATGCCGGGACTAGATTTTGGGCAAATTCTTATGCGATTTAAGCATAGTATGAGCACATTGGTCAGAAAATGAAGCTGAGCAGCAAACTCCACTTGCACCACTTTAAACAGCTACTGTATTTGAAAAAGGTACATGACACTCAAGCCATAGAGACAGAGGACGAAAAGAATAGGTTTTGCAGGGAAAGGATTTGTGTGTGGGTGTCTGTGTGCAAGAGCAATGATAACGAAGCAGGTTTCTTCTTCTTAGCTTGTATAATTTTCAGTGCTCCACAGCTCATCTAAAATGTGTTACCAGCAGAGTACTTCTGCAGTAAATTGAATCTGGTTGCATAAGTCTGAATTTGTGGTCTACAGAATTCCAGATCGGGGAAAGCTATGTTTGTTTTATACCTCAAAATCAGTCTCTGACCAACTTTTGCAGATTGATATCACTACAAATACCACTTCTAATTTTAATCCAAAGATCTGGAATCACATTTGGTACTGAACTACAATTCCTCTATACATCAAAGAGAAAGATTTGATGATAGAACTTGTTATTACCAGAAAGTACAGGCAGGACCTCCTAATCTCATTCCCACACATCTGTCTACACTGGCTCTCATCTGACTCCAACATTAACTAGTTAATAGAGCTAAACCAGCAGGAAAATAATGCAGCAAAAAAGTGGCTGACTGAGCTCCCTGATATGGCTCAGTGTATGGTCATACAAGCACCAGTGACAGTGTAAAGGAAGTAATGGCAATGTAGAACAAGTAGGAGGGTAGGAAAATTGGCCTGCTCCTTTTGGAGACGGTAAGACACTGGATTGGCAGTTATATCAAAGTTGAAGCTAGCAGCAGCATCTTGAAACAGTGCAAGCCTGAAAGAATCATCCATATAGTTAATTTAGTTATTAGCTTAGCCATTCTCACCCTAGCTGTCAAAAAATTCTTTAGTTCAAAGTTCACAAACACAATCTTAAACAAAGAAGTAGAGAGAAATTTAAGATACTGAGAAAGCAACTGCTTATCTACACAATATTCTTCTCCACACTTACCTCCCTTGAACATAAACGTACAATTAGTACTAAGCTATTATTATATACATAAAACTTGCACTGTCCAGCATAGCAAGATACGCACTGGTAAAAGAGAATTGCAACAGCGTAGTGTTCTTTAACAGCCTATTTACATTCAAACCAAATTGTGTATGTCAGAATTTGTGTCATTGTAACAGAATGGTGGAGAACAGAACAGTACTACTGCAGAAATTTGGAAAGGCGTGGAACGTTCTTTAGGTTCATTTAAATTCTGACCAGAAAAAACAGTTATTGGTTGTTGTACCTTTCCCCTGGACAAAACAGCCTCAACTGTAAAAGACCACAAAAGATCATCCCCACGTAATGAAACTGACTTTTCTTTGTGACATTGACAGCTCACAGTGCAACACAAAGTGGTATGTTAAAAAAAATTCTTGAGCAACTTCCCATCTCAGAATTCTTAGCATCACCTTATCTCCTGAAATTCCTCTACACATTTAAGGTAACAGGACTCTAATTGTACTTCTAGCTTCTACTTTGCTTCTTTGAATAATCACATCTATAAACATGATACGCATATAGATATATCTTTGGAATTCATCTTTTTTTTTTTTTTTGGTTTTTCGTTAGGATGCTTTCAGGAATACCATATTGTGTTCTGCTAAGACGGGCTGAAGGTTAAATGCTATGCTTGCAGGGAGCTGAAATGTTACTGTTTAACAAGGTAAACCAAAAGAAACTACAGTTTTTAAATGTAGAAAAAAAGAGATTGTGTCATCTCTCTTTCATATTGAACAACTTACTATTCACAGAGTGAAATAGATCTCCTGTATGTGCTGTACAGCTGACATCTAGCAAGGAGGTTGTTGCATATTTCTGTCAAGCTTTTGTGATTAATGATACTGAGCAATTGCCTCCCATAAATTCTACTACACATTTCCTATTAAGGAAAAAAAGGGTATGACTGACCAATTCACAGTTGTAATAAACAAGTGAGGCTTATTTTAGAACATTCATTAATAATATGGTTTGTACACTCAGGGCAATCTCAGGAATTTTTATCCAGCTACAAACCTAAGTACTTTCAGTACTTCAATACTGCCAGAATAATCACTCCATTAGCCTTTGTTCAAATCTAATACAAAGGGTTGTATTTTAAAAATACATTTTAAGTCTACATGTAACTGCCTGATTTATCAATTTGGCTTTCTCCATTCTGGAAAATTTTTAATTTTACTGTGAGGGTGGCTGAATGCTGGAAGAGCAACCTCATCCCAGAGTCTGTGGAGTCTCTATTCTTTTAGGTATTCAAAACACACCTGGACATATCATCGAGCAGCCTGATCCACTTGACCCCACTTTGAGCAGGGGGCTGGACTACATGATTTCCACAAGACCCTTCCAACCTCAGCTATTCTCTGATTTTGTAATTGTGATATAATTGCCAGTAGATGCAAATCTAGAGCAACTGATGGCTGGACTTCAGGCAGAGTGTCTGGAAAGCCTTGAGGGGCTCATGAAAGTTGTTGAAAGTTTTCCAGGCATTACTCCACATTGGATTGCAGATTGAGACCCACTATTTTCTAACCTTTAGACTACTGAGGACAATGTTCCTTAACTGTTTGCCCTGACTTACAGTGACTTGACACTTGACAGTAAAGTCTGCATCAAAATAAAAGGTAGAGAAAATGAAACCTCAGCAAATCTGAAGGAGGATCCACAACTACATTGTAGAGCGCTGCCATAGCATAACCACAGAATCAATCTCTTTTTAGCAAAATAAAGTACATAGCATACGTAACATGTCAAGGTCGAAATTAATCTTGACAGAAAAGAGCCTGAACAAAGGTAAATGGACTTCTCTCATTTTATGTGCTGTAAACAGCAGGTTGTAAGGTTGTTTTACCACTAGGTAAGTACTACAACCTGGTATTACCTTTACTTGGTAAAAGATGACATTCATTTTAGATGCAATCTACAATGACCAACATGAGGAGTAGGAACCTAATTAAAATCAGAGGAGATGAACATCACGCTCAAAGTGAGTGACCCTACAGACAGGTGGGAGGAGAAGGGGCTAGAGGAAAGGAAAATGGGCTTGGTATTATTTTATTAGCTCGATTCAGATTTGTCCAATTCAGATTTTCATATGCAATGGATATTCCAAAAGATAAACTGTGATACAAGCTTCTACAGTATAAAGCCTTGTCCAGTGTCCTTTGATAGTACGTGATTCTCCAGAAATAAATCTGAATTTCATTTACTCAAACTGAGGATTTGACTTAGATCTAACTGAAACACCTCCAACAGTAATCTTATTAAGACTGCCTTCCAAGGAAAAAGTAATTGTTTTATTGATAAAACTCTAGGTATACAGACAAATTTTAAGCAAATTTTAAGGGAAAAAAATATATATATATATATAAATCCAAAATATTGTAGTCATATTGAAAAATATTTCAACTGTGTAGTTAAATTGCCTGGTACAAGTCAGTCGAGAATTGCAGCCCACTAATTTTTTGGCTGTGGATGCAATACAATAACCTGCACAACAGCTTCATGTTTTTCTTGAAGCCATTTTCATTTCTTTTCACACACCTGAGTTATAACAAACAATTTAAGAAAGAATCAAGTACTTTAAAAGTGACCATTGTACAACAGTCTTGGAAGCTATTATGGAATGCCTCATAGTTACTTTGGCCACATGACTACAGAAACATCACAGAAAGATTTCAAAACGTACACAAAACCTAGGAAATGAGCCACTTGGTACGTGGCTGTATTCAAATAGCCTAAGTTCTGCTGATGCTATCATACTGAGTCTACAAAAGGCCTCATGAACAGATGCACCTAAATTACATTCCCCGCCTTCTCTAAATACATCTAACACCTCAGCTACAAAGAAGCTTGTACCTACAAGCCAAAACCCTAGAGATCTGTAGCCACTGCATGCAAATCCACTAGCTTGTTACAAAAGATTCAGAAGTAAATTTTTACATAAATGCAGGAAAAACAAGCTTCAGTTACCAAGTTGTCTCAAGTTTTCACTTTTGTTGGTTTACCATTAAGGCAAGGTTGTTTTACCACTAGATAAGGACTGCAATCTGACATTACCTTTACTTGGTAAAAGGTGATGTTCATTTTAAATGCAAAGTCATTTTATCATCATTTTGTGGAATTTAACATCAAATTCCATCTCTACTATACATAAACTTCAGCAGAAAAATGTTTCCAAAATCAACAATAGAAAATAAATACCATATGCCTCTTCCTCTCTCTTTTTGCTAACTGTATGACATTACAAGTGGTTCTACACTTCTGGCAGAACAGGATGCCTTTTCTTCATGACTTTTTGCATGAGTGCTTTTTCTATCTATCCTAACTTCTGCTGAAGCCCAAAAACGCATCTCGCAAGAAAAATAGTGAATACGCTCAGATATTCAAAATATAGCATATTATGTCTGTTCCAGCACTATCAATGGTAGAGTTTTGAGACTTCCCCAAAGTACAGAGAAAAATGGGAACAATCGACAGCTGTTTTCTTTCCTTGCAATCACTACCATTCAACAAAGCTTCAAGCTTCTCCTAAGCTTTTGCCCAAACGTTGGCATGAACTGGAATTGCAATGTTAACTGGGCAGGCAGTCCTGTTCTCCATGGAGTTGTAGGTAATTTCTGTTCCACTGAGGATGACCGTCCAGCCAATATGTACTTTACTGTCCCGTGGGTGCTTTACTATTATTGTGCTGCTGTTTTTCATGGCCCCTGAAAAAAAAACAGCACAGAAGTGGGGCTCAACTATAGCCCAAAACTAATCTGGGATATTTGGTGACTTATCCTGCATAGGATAGTCACAAGGAGCCTTAAGATGTTAGCTATGCCCAGTGGCATAATCTTCCTAATGATGACAAAATGAACCTTGCTGTTTTTAATGTAATTTTTCATTATCACATAGATCGCTTTAAAGGAGAATGTCTTACCTTGGCGTATAAAAGTTTGGCTGGTATCTAGTAATATATCACAGCCTTCTACTATCATTCTTTCTATGGCTAGATTCTTCCGGATGTTTTCTGTGTCACTCACTTCATCATGCATCACCCTGTCAGACACAATACAAAGCGGACATTAAATTCCCTAAAACGTATCTTGCGCCTGTTTGTGTCTATTCTTCACTTCTGCTCATACTCTGTAGATACAGAAGGTAGATAATGTCCTTTAGTACCGGCTATAAAACAGATGTATTGCAGCACACGATAATTTCAGAGCAAGTTTCTGGTCAACAAAAGGAATCAAAGTAGTTCTTGACAAAACCAAAAAGTTTTATAAGCTTTTTTTTTTTCCTTCTTTCAAATCATTCTTGCAAACTTAACTACTTAATTTCCACCAGTGGAACCAATTTTGTCAGACTTGTTTTTATAGTTTTCCTGGACAAATCTTATAAATGCCACCAAACTGAAAGCTCTTTGCAGCTGTCCTAATTAATAGTCCTTTTGGACTATTAATTAGATTAGGTTACCACAAAAATGGAAGTGTTTCCTAGCTCTTTATATTAATTACATTAATAAAATATAATAATATTGTATAATATAATAATATTACAATATAATAATATTAATAATCCCTGCCTTTGATGTTAAGTTCCCACTCTGTTCTACTTCAGTTTACATCCTCATCACTTCCAATTACTAATAATCACTTCCATCACTAACAACCACAGCCTCAACAGCTCATCTCTCACTTTCTTCCACTTCTTTTCATAGGCGTCCTCCCCTTAGACAGAGAAATACAGGTTTTTTTCAAGTATGAACTCAACAGAGAGGTTTACATGGTGTCTTGATCTAAAATATTTTCCTGAACTGGAGCCAGACTGCACCATCTTAGTGTTCCTCTTCCCTCAGAACTACATTAAAGGGATGGAAATGAATCACAAAGCTTTTTATTCTCATGGTCTATACCACCTGCCTTGTGAGTAGAGGAGGATCAATCAATGTGAGCCTGTAATTCTGGATGTTCAGTGATAGATTAGTTGGATCAGCAATGAACTCTTGACTACTGAGCCGAAGCAGAGCCGAAGCTGCTTGATATGCTTGTGCACATAACCCTAGCCAAAGGAAATTGTGTGCTTTGCCTGAACGGAAAGGAGGCTTCTCTACTTCAGATGGCCTCAGAACAGGAAAGAACTTGCCAGACATTGCAGGAATCCAATATAGACACATCTCTAAGAGGTACTGCCTGCCCAACTCTTTGAGAAGCTAGAGCTTGAAGAGGTGGCAGATCATGACCTGCAGATGACTCAGAAAGCTGCCTGTGGAAGAGATACAGCAGGATAAAAAAGGGAAAAATAATAAGCTCTAAATCAATGGGGTAGTGTCCATGAATACCTCATCTGAAGAGCAAAAGAAAACTTAGCAGTCAAGAGCGTTATTCTACAAGCAATTCTTTGGTGAAGTATCAACACTTCAGAAATTCAAAACAAATGCCATAACTTTAGAGTTTGTGCAGCACTCCTCTTTCACAGCAGAAAGCCGTGTTTCAAAGAGATAATGACCAAATTTATTCCTGAAGTGACACAGGGAAAAGTCTGAGGAGGGTCTGGAAGTTCAGGAAAGAGATTCATTTTGCAGGTTTCTAGCACCCAGTTTGAAAATATATACAAACAGAGTACTATCTGGGGTTACCAGGATCTTTAGCTCCTATTTATTTGCCCTTATTTAAAGTACATGCGAAAATCAATTATTCCATTCATGCATGTGAACTACATCACAGATTAACAGCTGAGTATTGTTCGAGACTCTGACTGCTTCCTGTTGTCATGGGGTATCAGAAATGTCCTTTTTTCTTCTTTTTTAACTATGGGGAAAAAAATATTTCTCTATTTAAAGAAAATTGCTTTGCTCATGCCCAGGGGTAGGTGGTTTCTATAGCAACTCTTTTCCCCTGCCCAAAACATAGGGAGACATTTGTAAATTTATGTCAGCAAAAAATAGAAGAGCCAAAATGTTAGTATTTTTCTTATTTTTTCATTTTCTTTGTTTCAGTTAGGTTTTGTTCTTCTTTTTAGAGGATGAGGTCATTCTTAATAAAAAAGAAAAAAAAAACAAATCAAAACAAAGAAAACTGTTTTTTCATTTCAGATCCTTTGATACAAGATTATCACACATCAGGGAGAAAAATCTTACCTTGAAAGTTCTTCTAGCTTAGATTTAGCAAATTCAAGGCTTTTTCGCTCAACATGTTCATGTGGTGTGTGAGCTAGAAGTTCATGAAGTGTTATAATATATCTAGGGATCTTAAAACAAATTAGAGACAACATCAGCAAATCATTTTAAGCAATAATTACAATATCTCTCATTTTCTTTTATCCTGGTCAGAAAAGATTCACAGTGTCTTTTTAAAATGGATATCAACAGTTAAATTGATAAATATACTCTAGATATAACTACTGTCAAAAATACTGAATTTTTCTGTGATAGAGACGGCATATGCATGTTTTCAGTTTGAGGAAACACAGGTTCCATTTACAACATTTAAAAAAAAAGATCACATCAGAGGCACTCAGAATTACGCTATTAACTTTAATTGTTTCATGCTGCTATCTAAGTGCCAATAGAGAAAATTTTCAAGACTTTCTTGGAGACCGATACATACCTTCCCTTAATTTTAATAGGAGACATGCATCTAGATTTCTCGTGACTTTGAAAATACCAGCTGACCTGTTTGCATACAGATAAAACTCGTATTTCTGGACTTTCAAGAATAAGCACTATTTGACTATTAATTGCCAAGTGGCAGCACAAGGACCCTGCTCTGGCAGATCAGAAGTAGAGAATTTGTTTTTCAGCTTTTTTTTCTTTTTTTTTTGTTTTGGCACAAATCCTCATCCCACATTCCCCTTGAACATATGCAAGATTCTGAATAGAGCTCAATCAGTGTAGTTGGAGAAAAGGTCTCTACAGGCAAAGAGTTTCAGGATAATAATGAAATAAAATTAAGTTAATTCACACGAGAATATTTTTAATTAAGCAAGCCGCATCTCCAATCAATCATAATTTCAGCCACACAAAACAATTCGATTGCACATCAAAAATAAACAGTCACAAAAAATTTACAGAGACTACCTGAAACATGGGGTAAGTAAGGAAAGTTTCCAGCATTCGTCCCTCACATGCTGGGTTGGCTTCATATTGCTTCAAGAGCTTGTCAAAATCTCTGTTTTGCTTACAGTTTGCCAGTACTTGGAGACTATACTGATGATTCCGAACAAATTCTTGATATATGTTCAGCATTGGCAGCAGAATGTCAAATAAGTCAGCTAGAAAAAGTCAAGAAATGCTTTTTTTTTTCCAGCTACCCACCTCCTGAAATCTCTCTTTTAAGAAACTGCTATGTTCTATTCAAGTAAATTATTACAATCTGTTCTGTTTCCACTATACTGAGATTTTAGAAACATTAAACTTGATTCTGTTACCTGACAAAACATCATTACTCTGATTAGCTAATAGTCAGATACTACCACTGACAATTCAGGGCCCATGCCTAGGCAAAGCTTAGGGCAGAAGCTAACCCAAAGGCATTTTCATATATGGATTTAAAGAGAGGCATATTACTGCCAACATGGAATGCCCACTATACAACAGGGCATGGTGTTAGTTCTGGGAGTGTGTTTTATTCAAAAAGAACAAAACCTTTAAAAACTAAAAATCACTGTAATTGCAAAAATAGCAACAAGTGAAAGTAGTATCACTAGAGAAAACACAGTAACTTACCTAAAATTAAGGTAGGCCAATTAGCTATTCTTGCTTTTAAACCTTGGTGAAATATTTCATGAAGAAACATGATTGTTTCACTGAAAAACAAGTATTAAACAAACAAAAAGACAATTCAAGTTTTATTTTATAATTAATAATTCACTGAGAAACATCCCTTCCTGATTATCAGTAGGTTTTGCACTTTGCTAGAAAAAACAGAAGATACTTATTATCACGGAAATCAATGCTTCTATTCGACTGTATTGTTTAAATTTTTTAGCATAGTATCTTTAGAAAATATATAGCATTTGATGTACAAACATATTCTAATCATTTAATTCTTTTAAAAAAAAGCATCTATTAAATAACATGTTCTACAGTTCACCAAATAGGTGTTCCAAAAATAGCTTTGACAATGCATTCAGTTGTTTTAAGAGGATCGATAAGATGCAGAAACCTCAGTCAGTGATTGTCATCTGTATTCTCGCTGCTCTTGAAGATCTGAACGCAGCTTACAAGTCTTCTATAACATGAACCTTACTTAATACTGTACTTTATCTCATGAAATCAACAGAAACAGCATTTAAGACATCTAATTGTAAAGGAAACCATCAACAGTAAAGCAATCTCGGTTATTACAAAAGTGAAGCCTGTCTCATAATTAAAAGACGGTATTTTTTTCCTAGAAGTTTGGGGCAGTCCTGGATGCAATCCCAATCCTATACAGAACTCCAGAAGCCTGCTGACCCATTTTTATGTACTCATTACGATAACATTTGGGTACCTAATGCACAGAACCATCCTTATTTGTAAGATGTGAAAAGATAAGCGAGAGAGAGAAGGAGATTTTTTAGGCAGGACAAATGAATATAAGAAGAAAATTTGGCACATTCATCTACAGTGTCTTATCAAGATTATATGAGGGTACTAAGTCCAATTTTGCTCTCTTAAGAGAAGAGGAAATAGAAAGGGTGACAGTAAATTTGAGAACTGCCCCATGAGGCATGTTTTGTCCTTTCCCTCCCAAAGTAAAGGAAGAAACAGAAAGTAAGGATGCAAAAACTGGCTTTGAACAGAATCACAGACTGCACCTTGCCTTTTACCCAAGGAAACGCAGTTTATCTCGGTGATATCAGTTATGTCAGAACAAAAAAAGCAGGTGCCAAACTTCACTACTGTAAATTAAAGCAGAATGAGAAGAAGCAGGAAAAAAAAGGCAAACAAAAAAGTAGATACCTGTTGAGGAAAATGCTACTAACATCATCATGACGGATAGGTGGCTTCTTTGAACTTGCAGCCATTCTTAAGGGCCTCAGAAAACAGTTCACAAGAACATAAAGTTGATGCACATACTCAGATTCAGCCTCAACCATGTTAAAAACTATCTGGTTCCTTTTTCTCATACTTTCTGCATGGGGAGAACAAATATAATCTTGGACAATAGTCTTCCATTTTCTTCTACATAACCAGCCCCGCATAAAGCTTTGAACCTAAAATGAACCAAACAGAAATGAAGAATGAGGAAAAAAAATGCATGATTTATGACAAGCCTTTCATTGTGGAAATAACCTTTTAAATTCAATGTATTTATTTTTAAAAAATGCTTCTTGCCCAGTATCCTCTAAAAGATTATTGCTCCATAATTGTTGCCTGCATTTTTTTTCAGATTTCTATTTGTTCACAAAACCTCCACAAGCATTTGCTAATATTTGCTACCAGAAAAGAGATTGGAAAGATACACATATTAAAGCCTCTCTCAGTTCAAGCTCAAATGTTGTATCTTTTTATATGTTCTCCATGACAGCAGAACTGCTGTGCACACAGTGTTGTTTTTTAATTCCTTTTACTTCCCCTTAAACATTTCTCAATTTCTAAACCCCTTCCCCAACTTTCTGTGCAAGGTTCTCATGTATGACATCTCAAGGCATTTTTTGATAGCGGTACTACCATAATTCTGAAAGACCTGTTAAGCTCAGTTTGCTTTCTTTATAGATATAATTTACCACATGTATTTAGAGTTACACTGCTTAACATCAGACACCTAGGCCAGCAATACTATTTTTTAGAAAAGATATATTTTTGCTCTTCTTAAAAGATGTCTCTATGTAATAGAAAAATGTACTCAAGTGTAATATCCATTCAAGTTACAAGGAGATTAAAGATTACAGAAAGGGCCTACTTCTGGTCACAGAAAACTTGAGTACATCCTTGCCCTGTTCTTGAGGTGCAAATCATTCATCTTGAAAGATAAATGCAAATGATTAGTAGTAACCTATTATTCTCAATAAACAACTTTAAAAAGGAGCCCAACTGATCACAACTATCAAGATGTAGAATAAAATGAACTATATATAGAAGCAGAACTCTCCTTGTACTAAAAGGGGCTGTTTCTGGCTTCTACTACAATGTTGTATTTATATGAAAAGGAAAATTCCCACAAGAGTACCAGGAGTGACCCAAAGTCAGACAGCACCACCCACAAAAGGTGAGTGAAACTAAATCCACATAACACAGAGGCTGTCACGTAATTGAAGAGATTTAGCACTACGAGAATGGGACCACATCTTCAAGCAAGAGCTCCATTTATGTCCCTTCATTAGGATTTGTAGCAGCCAGCTATGGGCACAGTTCTGGAGCATGGTTATCTCCAGTCCTAAGCAACATTACCAAAAATCGCACATGTAAATACAGTACAGATTAGGTCAGTTCTTTCCCTATTATTACAAACACTAGCCATAGAATCCTAGAACAATCATCACCAAACAGACTAAATGACAACCTAAAACAATACTATTCTCTGCATTTTCACTATTTGTATTCCAGCTGCAGTGACAGGATGTAAGTCATTCTCTTATATCTTTATAAGCATTTTTATAAGAAAAGAGAATAAAGTCACTATACCCTTGATTCCCACAGGAAATAGTCCACAGCTTAGTTTCAATGTTTCCAAGCAATTGAAGGCAATGTACAAGCTTCATTATACATTGCAAGTAAAGATGAATAATTAAATACCAAATATACCAAATATATGTGGGGATAAATATGCCATTGAAATATACAAAGTTGATGCAATTTAAGTGGCTTAAACAGGGATAATCTTGATAGCTGAATGTACTTAATGGAACGATAATTGAAGACAAAATTAAACAAACTAAAATACACTATTATGTCCCTTGTCCCACCTTTCTCCTTTCAGGCACAGAATATGGCAGGTTTACCTTTTTAATTTTTTTAATATCTGGATCCTCATCTTCCTGGTTGCCTTGATAAGGTCGCATTCTTTCTTTTGTTTTATTGAGAGCTATAATCTGACAAAATAACCATTCATTAAATGCTTTTTCAAGCTGATGAAACAGTTACAGAACAATCCCCTACAGAATATCCCCTTCTTTGAAGGCTCTTCTTAGAGTCCATTAAAGCTGCATGGAATGACAAGCACATATTTGGTCACAAAGGCATGAACACAGTTCCCTTCAAACCAACAAGGATCTTAATATAGATGGAGGAAGAATGAGAAGACAGCTGGTTCTCCTATCAAAACCAAGTGTGCCTTTCAGACCCTAACAGGTCAGGCAACAAAACTTTTAACATTCAATGGTATAGACTAGTTTGAAATAGTCTACAATACTGTCATAAACAAAGATAGTGTCAAGAATCAAACACATGCTTTAAATTCCATGTGTGAAGACAGGTAGGAAATAATACAATCAGTTGTATCCCCATTGCAAAGCAATGTGTCATCTTAAAAATTCTATGACAATGATGTAATCCAGTAAGCTGAACAGTCATCAATATGTCTAATACCATCTGGCCAAGTGTTCCTAGGAGGACTATTACAGCTTTTCTTACTAGGTTCTGTTATTTTCACAAATATTACAGCAATACAGACAATGACTGCAACATAGACAGCAAAACATTAGAATTCAGCGATGGCCTTATGACTGTGGAACATACCTCAGACTTCAGTCTTTCAATTTCTGTGTCTTGATCTTCAAGTTGATGTCGAAGCTGATTAGCTGCAATCTTTTCAGTCTCCACGATCTGGACGAGATGAATGTACTTCTGCATTAACACCTCCCTTTCAATCAGAATATCTGAGTAACTGAAATAAAAAACATTTAAGCTAGTAAAAACAGCAAATGTTGACTTCCATATCCTCCTATGAGATACCGACAGAATAAACATTACACCAATGATAAGTAAAAGAAATTTTCAAAATTGTGTTTTCCTTAATATACAATGAATAGCTTTATCATAAAACATCCAGACCTATAGTGTTCAACATTCTTTTTTTAGACACAAGAGCTGCCCCATCATCCCATTTATTTTTCATTTTTTCCCTCTTTTTACCAACTGTTAATCAGAGCTATTTCCAACTATCTCTAGCTGTCAGATCTCTTAATGGAAGAATCCCCATCCTAACCCTCAACACTGTTATTTTGGTTTGCCCCACACACCAAAAAACTACAAAATTGGGACCCCAAAATTTTGGGCTATTTCAGTTGTTCATTTTCAAAGATTTGTGTTCTTGGTCTGTCTTGATTTTGACCTCTTCTCCGCTGTGGTCCAATAAACACACAGCAGTTACATTCCAGCTCTCCAAATTTTAGAGAGTAAAGATGTTCTTGACGTAAGACCTGGCTACGATCAGACTGAAAGTCATCTGAATGGGCGTATTTTGAAGAAGAGTAAAAGAAGAGAAGGAAATTCTAATGAAGATTTAAGCATGCCAGAATCTGATTCTATTGTGGATAAGAATGGCATGGACCAAGTATTTTAGTACATGATCTCCTGCTCTGTATTCCCACACATACAGGCTGAAATCAGGCTTGCTGAGTTTACCATCTTTCTGCTTAAAGCAACTGCAACACTTCCGACAGCCCTTTTCATCCCTCTCTCAGTATTTACGAATTCACAGAATCACAGAATAGTTGGGTTTGGAAGGGACTTGGTTACCCTCTTGCTCAAGCAGGGTCACCTAGAAGAGGCTGCCCAGGACCTTTTCCAGTTGGATTTTGAGCATTTCCAAAGACAGAGACTCCACAACCTCTCTGGGCAACCTCTGCCAGTGCTCCGTCACCCTCACAGTGAAGTGGTGTTTTCTTATGTTCAGATCAAACTGCCTGTGTTTCAGTTTGTGATTCAGATTTACATAATCAGTGAAATAAGCCCCTGACCCAGCTACTCCTAGGGCTATCGCAGAACACCAATCAATCCATAAAAGGCTCTTCTCCACAAACATGAAGGAGTATGGAGAAACAATTGCAGGTAAGGGAACCCCAATAACCCAGTGAGAGAAACTGACTCCCCTGCCCTAGCTCCTTGCAGTGCAATCAGGAGAAAGCAATCACCCCCATGGTCCAGGGTGAAACCCATCAAGATGAGTCAATGGAAAGGTCCTCCAGAGCACCTTGCAGTGTTCTGAGGAGCCTTACTGCCTACAGCAATAGCAAAGGGATTACCGGAGGCAGGGAAGAACATTTGGGGATTGTATCAGACTTACCATGGGATAGGTCTACTAGGGGAGGTACCAAAGGCAGGGAAAGGGAGGGATCAAAGTTTAGGGAGGAACAAGCATGGGAAAATAGAGGGACAGGGGATAAAAGGGGCTGGTCACGTGTAAACAGGCTGCTGGTCAAGATGCTTGTCTGACCATGCCCTGTGCCTGGTCACCAGTCTGTCCTGTTTGCTCATTAAACTCATTTTTAACTATTCTCCTGGGCAAGGGGAACTATCTAGTCTGTGTGCATGTGTGTGCACAGAGGTCTAAGTGCCTGCAACGGGAATGCTGGTCCCTGCAGGTCATAGGGGCCCATGTGTCTGCGGTGCCAGCAAGTGGAGCAAGTCAGGATACATATGGGATCACTACAGAGTATCAAGCTGGATTAGCCGGTAAGTAGAGAAAGTGGCCTGGGAGCCAGGTATCGAAGCAGCCGTAAGTTGGGACCAGAAAGGGGTGTCTTTGAGTGAGACAACCGAAGCTGTGGGTTACTGGAGGGCCCAGGAGGTCCAAGCCAGCTACTACGAAGACCATGAGGTTTTGGGGTTCACCAAGAGACTCATTTGCACATGGATGTGTCTCTGAGTGAGGCAACTGGACATGAGAATATCCAATGCCAGCTACCAGACAGGCTGAGAGTCTATGACCAGTTACTGGAGGGATCCATAGTGCATGTGGCAGGGGGAGGGTCTGCATACCAATTGCCAGGAAAATCATAGTGCATGTGCAGGTGCCAGTGTGCAGCAGGGTAACTGGAAAGCCAGGGGGTCAAGGGTCACCTACCGGATAGGCTGTCTATGGCCAGTTACTAGGGGATCCACAGTGTGCCAGAGGATCTAGGGGGGAGTGCACACACATCTGTGACTGTGAGGGTCTGAGTACCAGTAACTGGAACGAGGCCACAGGCCTCAGGGGCTTGTATGCCCATGTATGTTAGGCAACCTTGAAAACCAAGGATCCAGGGACAGATAGATGCTGGACAGACTATGTGCCTAGGCCCTTTACTAGTGTGATCATTATTGCATATATTATATATTTCCCACAAAGAGACCTTCACCCTGATCAGCCACAGAGGGGAAAGGATGATGCCACTGATGCTGTTTGTGTTTGAGCAAGTACTGAGTGTTTCTGTATGGCCAGGTGTGTGTATATATATATATATATATACATACACAAGTTGTATACACATGTGTGTTTGTGTGCTTGTTGAGAATACATACTCAGCCCCACTACAGGTTGGACCTGGATACGTGGAGCAGCAGCAGCCTCACCCCTATTACGCTGTCAGATACAGCAACCCCTAACACTTGTTCTGTGATTCTAACTAGGCATTATTTTGAAGGTAGATATGAGCTAGCTTTATTCATGTTCTGAGCGTTACTCAAGTTCTCTCAGCCCCATCCCAAGCCACCTGGACACCATAAAATTGTAGTAATCATAGCAGCAAACCTCAGCTAAAATATTCTCTCCACCAGAAAGGCTTCAGCAGCTTGGCACTTGCTCCCAGCTTCCAGGCAGCTCCAAGACAGCACACCAAGTTTACAACTGCAAAATCTTACATGAAATACCCCCTACATTTGCAAGCAAAGCGTGCCAACAAATTTGAAGAGCAAGCCTTCTTTGGAGAATCGCTGGTCGGAGGGCAGTAGTTTGGCACATGCTTTAAACAGTAATCTAGCTGAAAGCAGCACTCCCATCTTTTTCCCCCCACAAAGCACTCTCCCACATCCCACCCATGTGCTGCCCTTTCCCTCGTGCAGTGAACATAGGTGTGTTCTCTGGATGTACAGTGAAAAGATCCAGAGAACTGAGACTGATTAAATTAGGTGGCAAAAAAATAAACAAGGCATAATTCAGTTAATGCAATTCAGTTTCCCAATTAAGTTCACACTTGTGTCAGCATGCAGAAGGGATGGTAAAGGCGCAGGAATGAGCAGCTGACTTATAACAATGACAGCCGCTTCTGTCGGTAGCATTGTTGCATTATGAAGGCCTAAAGCATACATGAAAGCACAGCCGGAAGCACTTAATTTAAGACTTTCCAGTAAGCTAAAGTAGAAAATGCCAAGATATTTGATGAGGAGAGGGCTGTGGAGGGGAACATGAGCACTGCAATATTCAGCCTCAGCATACAAGAGCCTGTCAGCTCCTGATGAGCGCGCACAGTACATCCCAAATGATTAGCAGTAGCATCCCACCCACAATGAAATCTTCCAAGAAGCAATGGGCAAGGCCACAGCAGAAAAATGCTTTAACTATGAATTTGCGACCACATAAAACATCTACTTACTACAGTGGGACACAGTACACAATGGGACTTTAGGGGTCGTTTTTCCAACTATATGACTTTCAAATTAAATAACATATGGAAGACGTTTTGATGGTGCAAACTGGCCTTTGCAAAAAAATGTGAAAAACAATCCAAAATTAGATTTTGGATATGTCAATCTGAGAAAAGTAAAAAACCCAACAACCCCTCCCCTCTCCCCCAAAACCTCAAAGAAGAAACCCTCAGCTACTTTGTCTCCGATAAAACACAGATTACCATAGCTACTCATGAGGATGAGACCCTCCAGAAAGCAATTAAATATGTCTGCTTCACAAACTCCAACATATTCACTTAGAACAAGATGTTCTCAGGCCTATTTTCAATTTAAAGGTAGGGGGAATGTTCTCAATACCTCCTGGAAATGTGACCCAAAGACATCTGAGATGTTAAAAAAAAAGTATTTTGAAAAAGCTAGACAAATAGTCATTTAGCAAAACAAACCAAAAACCCAAGAGAAGGGTCCAGAGATGTATTATGCTAGCCTCAAATGAACAATGACACTGAACAAGGTGCCAAAGTTTGTCACATATGACAAGAATACAGACCAACTCAAGCAAAAAAGTCCAAATCGGTGGTACAGGCAAAATTTAATACCCAAGGTAAAATTGTCGTAATTTTATTTTGTGTAGTTAAGTTGGCAACAAAAATCTTACACAATAGTCTAACACTATTGTTTTCACTTCTTTGATGTATCTTTGATACTCAACAGTTAAGTAACTAATTAACCATCTCACAGAAACACAGAATGGTTGAGGTTGGAAGGGACCTCTGGAGATCATCTAGTCCAACCCCCCTGCTCAAGCAGGGTCACCTACAGCACATTGCCCAGGACTGTGTCCAGGCAGGTTTTGAGTATTTCCAGAGGAGGAGACTCCACAACCTCTCTGGGCAACCTGTGCCAGTGCTCCGTCACCCTCACAGGATAAAAGTTCTTCCTCACGTTCAGATCGAACTGCCTGTGTTTCAGTGTGTGCCCGTTGCCTCTTGTCCTGTCGCTGGGCACCACGGAGAAGAGACTGGCCCCATCCCCTCGACACCCGGGTATCCCTTCAGATACTTGTACACATTGATGAGATCCCCCCCTCAGTCTCTCTCTTCTCCAGGCTAAACAGGCCCAGCTCCCTCAACCTTTCCTCATAGGAGACATGCTCCAGGCCCCTCATCATCTTTGCAGCCCTCCGCTGGACTCTCTCCAGGAGCTCCACGTCTCTCTTGTCCTGGGGAGCCCAGAACTGGACCCAGCACTCCAGGTGAGGCCTCCCCAGGGCTGAGCAGAGGGGCAGGATCACCTCCCTCCACCTCCTGGCAACACTCTGCCTCATGCACCCCATTGGACCCTAATGCCCTTGGCCTTCTTGGCCACAAGGGCACACTGCTGCCTCATGCTTAACTTGTTCTCCACCAGCACTCCCAGGCCCTTCTCCGCAGAGCTGCTTTCCAGCAGGTCA